TTGTTGTTTAATACTGATGTAACATGTGTAGTCTCGGACTGGCCCATGCATCCCAAAGCTAAAAGATGTGCATCTGCTTTCCCAGGTGTTTGACTTTGAGGAACGTTATAGCAGTGAATGAAAAATATTTTGTTACAGTTTAGATTCATGTGTTAGAGATTTCGCTCTATACATCCCTTAATTAAGGATAAAATTAATGACGTTGAAGTTTATCTTATATTGTCTCGAAGAAAATATTTGTTTGGTCAACAATGTCCAAACAATGAACAATACAAAGTTCTTTCCTTTAAACGTCCAGAAGTAAACTCTGATTAGTTCATTCTGTGTGAACAGTCCAATAACATTGTGTGACTGTCTCGAACGATGTTGGAAAATTAAAATTATTGTTTAATACTGATGTAGCATGTGTTATCTCAGACTGGCCCATGCATCCCAAACTTAATAGTTGTGCTATCCCAGTTGAATGACTGTGAAGAAAAAATTTATTTAGTGATTCAGAAATATTTTGTTACAGTTCATATACAATTAAGAGTTGTTATTGTGGGTTCATTTTTGTTCTGTATTACCTTATATTATTCAGTTTTACACATAATTTTTAGAAAGGGAAGAAAACACACTTGGCTATCATTGCAGCACAAACTTTTGTATTGCAATAATGTAAAATCAAGAAACTTATTTTCGTTTTCACCATATTCACCTCAAAATTTAAAACATTTCACGTTGGTTGGAATACTTCACTACTAAAATTTACACCCACAAAACATGACTCCATTTTTTAACATTACCAATGAGTATTTCTTTTCATTGGTTGCTCGTTGGCACTTAGCGATAGCTATATCTAGTATATCGACTGGAAGAAATTACGCCGTTAGTTACTGGCGTAAAATCTTGCATATAAAGACAACCGATTGGAAGAAATTACGCCGTTCGTTACTGGCGTAAAATCTCACATATGGAGACAACCGACTGGAAGAAATTACGTCGTTAGTTATTAGCGTAAAATCTTAGAGTACATATATCATCGACGTACGTACGTTTGTAACCCTAAGCAATTATTTGTTCTCTATTAATGGAGGGGGGTGAGCGCCCGAGAGAACAGGGGTGTAAAAACAACCGACTGGAAGAAATTACGCCGTTTGACGACATTTGACCTGACTCACTTTAGTCGCTGGACAATTTTCTACAGATACAGCTTGCAAGAGAACGACAAATTTGTAGATTTTTCATGACATCGCATCTGTGACCTAGACGTAATAAAGAAACGAAAAGGAAATTTTCCTTCTGGGTGGGCACCAAATGGAAGACAAAAAAACTTCCCTGGGTTCGGCTTTTCAAGGGTTACATTTTCCATATCTGCTCCCGCTTCCTGCCGTCTCCAGTCCCCTAGTCTCCCGGGCGCTCGCCCCTCTGTACCCCTCCACTAATGTAGAGCAAATAATTTGGGGCTACCAAAAGATTTGATCCGGTAAATTGGCCGCACAAAAGCTGACAAGGGATACCGATTTACGCCGTTACTACGTTACTAATTTCTTCCCGTCGATATATTATATACTGTAAGATTTTACACCGTTAGTTAACGGCTTAAAATCTTACAGTATATACACCGACGCAGATAATGGCGTAAAATTGTACAGTCTACAGACTATGTTAGTCGCATATTACGCCGTTATCTAACTATCGGAAATAATGCAAGATATTCCTTCTGCTTTCGGCTGGTGCATCAAATTTCATTTGTCACGCAATAAGCATGCTGACCGTATTTGAGTTGTGGAAACTAATTCAGGATACCTTTAGCTGGGGAATCTGAGGTCTGCAGATATAATCTACTTCAAAAACATGGACTACACATACATAATCAGTTGATGATGCAGTTTGGAGATGTCGCAAGGTTCGTAGAAGAGGCAAAGGACGCAAAAGTTTGCCCACAGTACAACTTCAAGCAATACTTTCTGACCCACAGCGACTAATGAACTTGAAGCTTGAGATTGACGATACTATTGATGTTGGCGAACATTTTTTGAAAGCCACGTATTTTTTGGAAGGGGTGCTCTTGTTGACTACCTCCAAGCAAGCGTCATGTCACAGTACAACAAACGCTAAGGACTTCAAATATTAATTAACTGAATATCATTGGAAAAGTTTTGACCGTATCAGAAGTGTTATAAACAAACAATTAAACACTTTTCACTTTATTTAGATGCTGATACACACGATGCCCGAGTTTCTACGTTTTGCTTGAAATTAAACAAAGCACTTTCTGAAACCAAAGTAGAATTATTTTGAGAATCGAGCATAATTTGAGCATTATTTTTGGCGTAAAGCGGAATTTCTAGGAGCATAAAATGCCAGTTTTAGTAGCATAATCGGGAAAGGCCTAGTGATGACTTATGATGAGAAGAAACATATCAATTACAGGATTATTAGTTGACTCAAAACCAAATTCTCTGCCCTAATATTACAAGAATTGTATGGCAGACAGAAAGGAGAATTACTAATGAGATCTTGGGATAGAAAGGGTTAAGAGGGCACACGAGTAGAAACAGCTTCAGGGCCGGGAAAAACAACGCCATTCCTTGATATCAGTTTTAAATGGCTAAAAGTAAGGTTAATGTTGCGATTAATATCAAAATTCAAGTATATATAACACTGTTATTAGCCTTTCTCTATAACATAAGACTAATTCTTGAACAAAATGAGAGGTTTGTACATGTTTGTAAACCGGAAGTGGCAGGAAGTGTTGGAATTCCCCAGATTTTATGCTAAAGACAAAACATGCTTTCACCTTCCCAATCACGTAGTTAAATCCATCATTCGTAAAAACCTTAAATAACTTCAAAATGATCCCGAAAATGGTACTATATTTTCGCAACCAAACTAAATTCATGGGCAACTTTGAGGTCAGAAGTTCAATACAAATTAATGATCATCCACAAATTCCGCCTCAGCCGGACCCAGAGCTTTTCGACGGTGTTAACCTGGGACTAGCCTTCCGCGAAGTGTAGCTTCTGTAGCTTGTGTTGTGTGAGAATCCAGTAAAATCCCTTACCTCAAGCGACATAGAAGTAGGAGCTTGTTTTCTTTCACACAGGTATTTTGAGTTTTTTGTATAGTTTTCTTTGAACTTGTATAGAAAAATATCGAGGTTGCCCTCCATACACAATCTTCAGTGGGTGAAGTTATTGAGCAAGGAAATCGAAACGAAATGCGGGATGATGAAATATCTCCACCAGCCTTCGCTTGTAGATTATGAATTGAGTTGATGTTCCCATCTGGAGCATAAGATATGTTTGTTACCCAGCTATCTATGATTTAATCATTCCAGTAGGTGCTAATTTTAAACATGCGTGATCGGCGCGCTGTATATCATGGTTGCCCTCCATACACAATCTTCAATGGGTGAAGTTATTTGAGTAAGGATATCGAAACGAAATGCGGGATGATGAAATATCGCGACAGGCCTTAGCTTGTAGATTATAAATTGAGTTGATGTTCTCATCGAGAGCATAAGATATATTTGTTACCCAGCTGTCTGTGATTTAACTTTTCCAATAGGTGCTAATTTTAGACATGCGTGATCCTAACCCCTAAGCTAATTCGCTTACTCGGCGACCAAAAAGCCAACTAGGCTTGTATCCGCCTTTTTTCAAATTTTCGACTAGTGGCACTTATTGGGATATTGCACTTCATGCTTTAAAACTGCATCTTGTAAAACAAAACACAAACTTATATTAAATGGAAAGTAAAGCCTTTTGGATAATTTCCCACATGCTTCCATGGCATGGCATGAATTTACACTGAAGAATGAACATCAGACTGGAGTAATTCCTGGCTGGATGGGCCAATCAAGTGTGCTCATTGGACTTTCATATCAAAGTATCTGTGCTCTTAAATCTAGAAAATCTAGAAAATCCTTGAAAAGAATAGTTTAATTTTCATCTAATCACTTTCTAATTACTCTTTCTATCACTTTCATAACAGTTTCTTCAATAGACAAACTCGTTATAGCTATCCTAGAATGCAGGGAAACTGAGGTCCATCTTGTTGACAGTATTTACGGAATGAGTATTGACACTATGGGAAATTTTGTTACTCAGTGAGATGCAAATAAACGATCCTGTACCTTAAGTGCTATGACTTAAATAACTAAGACCTCTTGCGGATTTCTAACAAAGAATCAGGTCTTTGTGGTTTTCATAGCCAATCAAATTCAATTCTAAATTTGATTTGGCTATGGGAACAGACTACACTGAAAACTAAACATTCACCAAAATATGGATGCACTTACAACCAAATAATTGGCCTGACCAAGAGAGCAGTTCTTGATGAGGCCTCAATCCCTGGTGTTCCAGATCGCTTAGGGTTAGGGTGAGGGTTAGCTTGGAATTGAATTTGTTCACGTTACTTTTAATTAATGAATTACGTCTGCGGGCTGTAGAAGGCTTTCCAAAACAAGTATATTTTGTAGGGTAGAGGTGTTGATACTAAATTCTACAACGTTTTTTATTTCAATGCATTAGGCAGCATATGCAGTCAAAGCTATATGAATAAATCAAGCCATCGATCAGCAGCTACTTACTGGAAATTGTACATACAGTTGTTTTTGTGTTATTAGGCCATGTCAAAGTGGAACAACTGGCAGTGACAAGGAATGTAATGTAAAGAGATTCTTAAAGCCAAAGAATTATCATTGCCAAGCTACTGTAGAGATATATATAGATAGTATATATAGATAGATAGATAACTAACTCTGTAGATAGATAGATAAAGGGGTTGTTAATAGCTTTCATTTTCCATATACTAACTCAGAGGCCTGGCATTTACATGTAAGTGTTACTAATTAACAAATACAACATCCCTCAGTCTTAGCATGCAACATTTAAGTGGCATGGAGGCTTCTGTAATTTCTCTATTGGCAAGTTATTCAGTAATTTACCCCCCTTATTCTGATTTTTGTTGATATTTTTTCCCAGACTGTGCAGTTCTACTGAAAGTATTGAATTATGCAGATTGAGAAGTTAAAGCTATTCCTTCATGGTTTGCCTCCTGATTGCCAAGGCAGCACTTTAAAAGATTTTCTTGAAGGTATGTTTTAAATAGTTATGGAAAGAGTACTTATGTATGTGAGGGTGTATTGTATGTGTTTTGGTAGTAAGGGGTGGTATGATTAATCATTTCATTTGTGCCCACTAATTGAAACTTCAGGCTTCCCCTAATTTTAAAATCATGTTATGTTACCATTCTGTTAATTAGCTTTGGACTCCAAGCCCAGCATTTTTTTAGGGGCCCAAAATTGAGAAATAGTTGCCTAAGGGAGTTTTCTGTGGCCAGAGAAAAAGAATAAACAATGGAAAGAGAGAACAAAATGGTGCAATTTGTACATGAGATAATACACTGCCAATCACATTGCTTATCTCTAAATAATCAATTTGGCTAGTAGCGCTCCAAGCTGTAACTGTTTAAGGTCACCATAGCAACTAAACAAAAATAAGGCAACTAAATTACAGCATGAATATCAAATTTGGCAACCTGTGTTTGGTGGTCATCTAGCAAGTTGCAATATTTGTGCAAATTAGTTTTTAAAGTCCGATGTAACAGTGATGTGATCATTTTTATAAATCTTTTTTTTTTTTTGTTCAGTCATTTTCTTCTATAAAATTTTCAAACCAAATGCCAGTTCTAATGCTGATACATCAATCAGTGTCAAGCTTCAACAACCCCCACTCCCCACTGGCAACCCCCCTGGCATTGTAACTTTTGAAGATTGGTTATTGCATTCTTACAAATGATGTCCTGGATCAGGAGGCACATAAGTGTAATGGTTTGTAACCTTCACAATAGCCTTGTCAATTAAGGTCAAGTTTTATCAGAATATGAAAGGTTGGCATTTATTTTTTTTGTATCATTTATAAGTGAAAAAGTTTTTCCACTCCTCTTCTCACAACGCACACACCAAACAACCTAAATTCCATCACATAACATGAAAAAAAAACATCCAAATTTCAATCAGAAAATACCCAATCATTGCACTATTTGAACATTAAGAAACTTCTCACGTGCTTGAATTGTATTCCACCCTTCAAATTATATTTTGCTACATTAGCCTTTGCTCTATCATGGGTCATTCAAACAACTTGTATTTTATCATGTATTCTATCTGCATAGTCCAACCCCTCTGAAAAAATTCCCACGGAACTAATTGCTATTGATAGTGTATTGTTCACGCAATTCTCTCATGTTTTGACTTTTTCTACTGATAAAATTTGCCTTAACTACCTGGGACTTAACCAAATCCCATGTTAATTCCTTGTAAAAAAACAACCTGCATACATACATACATACATACATTCTTTATTTGATAAGTAGGTTGTGTGAAAGGCAGCCAAAGGGCTGATGTGGACCTACTATACTAAATATTAGGAATTACATATATATAAAAATTGCAATAATAACTTAGAACTACTATATACAAATAAAATGGTGTTCACTAAGACTAACATATAAATCTAAAAGTAAATGAAATGGTCCTTTCTGTTGGCAACTACTGTTGCCTCTTTCTCAAATGAAAAATTGTCAATAGTCTTAACATGTTTACGTAAGATTTGTTTAAAAGAATAAAAACTTTCAGGTACTTTAACTAATCTATTTACAAAATTCCAAATAACAGGACCTCTGTATCGTAGGGAGTTCCTGCCGGTCTCTGATCTAAATCTAATGACATTAAATTGGTTAGGAACACGAGAAGATCTAGAAGAAACTCTTTTAGAAAACAGTTCACATATCGACTGGGTCGTTGTTCCAAAATATACTTTGTGCAAGAGGAACAGTACAGATTTTTTATAGAAGTAAGAGATGGTATATTTTAAGGTATATTTCTCACATGGAGGACAAAGTCCAGATAGGCAACAACCAATGAAGGAGCCCTTTTTGAAATATTATCCTTACCTCTTGTTCAATGTATCTTCACTTATTCAAGATCGCAAAATATCTTTGGTTAGGGTCTATTAGAAGTACAACAGAGTTTCAGTTTGCTTTTTGTTGTAAAATTACGCAGAATTATATTTTTGAGGCAACTTACTGTAGATGAATAATTTTGATTTTCTCTCTGTTTGAGAAATGGCAGGAAGTGTAGTCTCTTTTGCAATCATTATTTGGTCTTGTGTGACAAGACCAGACAACAGCTGCGAAGGAGACAACACTATGCGTGGCACCAATACATTTCCATTTTACTTAGAAGTATTTAGACAATAGAGATTATGGACCACAAAATAACTGTTTGAGTTCATATAATTAGGTTTTTTTCAGTCTTTCTCTTCAGATGAATTAATGCGATATTTTCGTTCTTTTGAAAGTTATGCCCTTTTCGGTTACAACAGTGAAAACATTAGGTACACATTATGTCCCATCTCAACCCACACCAGCCGAAAAAATAACTTTTACATGCTACGCATGCCTATGTTTCTATTTTGTAAATATGTAAATCTTTTACGTTGCGCAATGGGAGAAATGCAAAGATTTTAAAATCTGATCTAGTTTTGGAAAAAAAAACTAACCTTGCTTCATTAGTTGTTCCTTTGTATCGTGTGAGTTTCTTGAGCTAATTTAGGGCTGTCTAGCTCAGTTTTAGTTCAAATCCTTTCCTTCAGCTACTTGTGATAATACAGGCGCTAATGGGACTAAATTTTTCACTTTGGCGACCAAATCCTGGAAATCAATCATCAAATTGGCGATCATATTCCTTCTTCATACCTTACCCAAAGATATAGTTATTTAAAGATTTGTAAAGATAAATCTGTGGCGAACGTCCTCGTTAAGTTTGTTTTCGAAACGCAGCGGCCTCTGGACGCCATCTTGGATTTAGGCAACATGGCTGGTGGTGTATGACCCCCCTGGTGTCCTAATCTGCTAGCGACTTGAAAAAAGAAATTCCTATAAAAGGATAATTTTACTTGCCATTAAAATTGAGATAGCTAGATATTCACATAAGTTTCAATTGTTGAGTTATTCTTTTTCTTATGAAAAAAGAAGAATAACTCTGCTTTTCCTTGGGGTAGAGTTGCACAGAACACGTCATCACAACGGAATGTACTACACATAAAATTAATCACCCTAGAGTAACCTTGAAACGTGAAAATGTGTGATGTGTGATGTGTGATTAGCTTACTCGCATGCATCTTAATTTAGTAGTGAGGAAGTGTGGAAATATGCAAATATGCAAATTAGTCTACCTTACTCACATTTATCTTAACTTGGTAGTGTGTTTCAGCCATGTATAACTTTTGCAATAAGAGCAAGTTATGCAATAGATGACTTTAGCGGAGGTGCGCGTGAAGTGATCAGTAATCTTAATGTATCTCTTGGTATTTCCCTCGGGTTATGAATGAAAGGACAGGTTTTGCATCGTGAGAAAGCACATTATATAGTTCCAGGTTGGTTAAGCGGTCGTGGTCGTAGCTTACGTATGGTCGTAACCTCCCCCTCCCCTCCCCCCGCCAAGGCGAAACGGAAGCGAGGGAACGTCAACGAAAACCTGACATCTAATCGTATTCTGTGACGTCACTTTTTTTTTGTAAGAATATGTACATCCGATTCTTTCGTGAATTCTGATTGCCAAGAGTTGGTAATTTACTTTCATACAAACGAACAAGATCGCGAACAACAGAGATCTATGACGAAGTTTTAAGGCAAGTTTGCGCGACTTTCGGGACAGTTCAAGAAGCACAGCAGAAAGCCATAGATACGTTTTTCGTAGGTAAAGATGTCTCCGTTTTGTTACCAACCGGCTATGGAAAATCTTTAATAAATCAAGCGGCGCCAGTGATGGACCGCCTCTCTTCTCTAGAAGAAACCGGTTACAATATTTATTTTGCCTCCCGTTAAAGCTCTCATAGAAAGCTAGGTGCTCTATCTCAGTGGACTTGGGCCAAGAGGATTGTCCCTCTTCAATTTTCGGTTTCTTTGCGAACGGCGCTGCGAAGCTATTAAATTAAAGCTAGTTGTTTCTTGCAACGATTTTTTCGACTGAGAAAAGAGTCGCTCTTTCTCCACGCTTGCAGCGTAACTATCTCCTAAAGAAATCTGTAAAAACCTCGAGATTCTGCGGCAAATGATCCAACGACGACCGTGGCACTATTTACAAATGCAAGAAGAAACTACGTGGACGTTGAAATCTAGTTTCGTAAGCGCGATCCTAATCGAACACCGTCCTCTTCTAACTCTATGCAAAATGTCGCTCATAATCTTTTGCTATATCCTTAAAGCAAAGTACATGTTTGAACTCGGACGCTAAATTGCAAATTAACCCGAAAAAGGGAAAACACCTCGATGATGTTCTTTTCTAACTCGATAACCTTTCACGCTAACACGTGCCACTTCGCAAAAACTATTATCAAGTTACGTAATTTTGCATAGGTTAGAGTGACGTTTCACCTTGGCGGGGGAGGGTACTGTTACACATAGGCTATCGTGGTCACCATTGACTGAATTACAACGGCCTGTTTTTATTGTCATCCCGGCCTGATTTGAACGGTCACGTAAAGCAGAATTACTTGAATAAAGCTAAGAATAATCTTTAGAGTCAAATTCATTTCATGTTTATTTCTCGGAATCAATGTATTACTGCTTTGAGTGACTTTCGACTTTTTAGATCGACGTCGGATTTCACCGGTAAAAAATCACAGTGTGCGCCGCCATCTTGAATTACACAAAGGATAAAGGTCCTTCATTTCAAACTCAACATGTGGCTAAAAGATTTGTTTTCTAGCGTCTCATATATCCATTGGACATACGTGAGAACTTTCGAACAGAAAGGAAAAAAGTGTCGAGGGAGTTCAACTACCTCAAACTGCCTTGCCCGAAGTTTAAGCGTGGAGGCAAACGTTTTGCTGGAGTCTGGTCACGTGACTCCGAGACGTTTACGGTCACACGCATTCGGAAACAATCGTAGATTTAAAACTCCCTAATACGGGTTTTGACACTTACGAGAACATAGTGTTTGCGGGCAGGCCATTGTTTGCTTTTGTCACGTAACGGGGGGAAGAGAGTGCGTTGTGTGACGAGACCAAACAACGGCTGTGAATGAGATTACAGGAAGCGTGGCACCCACGTAGCTTATTTTTTTATAATTATTGTTCAGAATCCTGTGGCGATACCATAAATTACGTGTGTCTTATTTTATTTCAGATAAATTGGAAGACTATTTTTCTGCTCTTCATTGAACGATATTTTCATTGGAATCTTTTGAAAATCAATGCTCTTTTTCTATGACAAAAATGCAAACATCAGTTACTTAGTGTCCCATTTCAACCCACCCATCCAAAAAAAAACTCTTACATGCGTAGTATGCCCGTGTTTGGCAGGTTTTTCTTAAATACCAGTTAGTGTAGAAGACTTCTGATCGATTCATTTCAACGTGAGGTTCTTGGAAGGCTTTACATGTATTTCTTATAACAAGGGCATTTACTTTTGATTACACTGCGATGGTTGCACGAACTTATAGTAATTTATATGGGCTACGCAAGCCATCAACTTTTTTTTGTACATCTTCATTGATGCATTCGTGGTATTAGAGGCTTTCTTCATCCTGCATGATGAAGAAAAACCATTTTTTAGACGCAAATGAAGCATAGAAGAATGACTTTAATTGTACGAAAACTGAAATGATTATCAAAAATGATTATATATATATATTTTTACTTATCATCTATTTTCAACAATGTTATGGTTAGGTATTGAATGTGAATATGTCTGTGTAAGTTGACGAGTTTGTTCCATGAGCTGGAGTCTGGGCAAAATGAATGACTAAATGACTATGACGCAGGAGCAACTTTATCCTCCATTCGGAAGGAAGAGTCGTTCAATATTCTTCGATTTGAATAGCTGACAAAACTCTTTTCGCTTTTGAAGGGTATGTCTTGTACAGAGCCTTAATGAAAAATTGGCAATCAACCTTTTTGGAATTGGGTACCACATAGAAATATTTAGGAGCCAAGTAACTGCTGAAGAAAAAAAGTTAATTCACTCCGGAGAGACTTTCAATTGTGCGTCGTCATGGAATTTTAAACTTATTTCAATGTTCCAACTTAAATGTACCAAAAGGGATTAGAAAAATTCTGTTTATTCACAGGGAAAAACTCTGATTTTAACCTAGTTCCATTAATTTATTTGACTGCCGGTGGTAAAAAAAAAAACACTGAACCCCTAGTCCATGGACCACCCCAATGGACTACCTAAATGGCCCACCCTGAAATGGACTGAGCGTGCAAAGATCTCTTTTCGAATGAGTACTATTGAAAATACTGCCATTAATATACTCACATTGTGTTGTATAATTAAAATTTCCAGACACCTGTGCTTGGAACTGCATAATTTCTTGGAAATATTTAAATTGCGTAAATATACTGGTGGATTTTGGCAAACTATGCACTGATATGCTTTTTCAGCCCGATTAAGGCCTGCATTTTGAGAATTCTTGCGTACAAAGTAGTGAATTTTCGATATGCAAATTAAGGTCGAAGAAAAGGGTCTCCTCTGATCCCGCTGGTATTAAAAATATTTCAGCTGAAGTTTCCATATTTTTTCTGTGAACTAAGTGAATACACCTTGTAACTTGTAGCAAGATAGAATCCCGTGAGCTACATTGTTGCAGTCGCTGCGCGTTGGACAAAATCTTTGAAATTTACACTTTTGATCGCTGTCCACAGGGGTGGTCTGGCTAAAAATCATTTTTGGCTTGTGGTGACGCAAAAAAAGAGAATTGGAGAACAACTAAACTATTTTTAAAACATTTGTCCTAAACCCTTTTCACGGACAAAAAATAAAAGAATTCTGGCTTCCTTCTTCTCTTTTAGAGAGGGAAGTTTAGTCTGAGTGAAGATCATTATGACTTTTGACGTTACATTATTGTTTGGAAGTAGCCTGCAATGTCATCTAACGATCTTCAACACTCATCTCTCCGGTGAAGGCTGCTAAAGTAAACTTGTAATATGTAAATTTGTCTTTGTTGGCTTCCATCACAATTTTGGTGTTAGCCCAGGGTATCGACAGGGTAACACACACTAACAAAGCCCTCAAAATAGCGTCCTTGCAATGTTCAAGGTAAACGAAAATATGCGGTGAAGTTTACTTCAGGTAAATAATCGGCATTAGAAAAGTCATCGGCAGATGGCAAAGTGAGAGCCAGACTGAGGAATGTAAATCAAAAGTCCCTCTTGACAACAAATAAATTGGTCAACGTGTTAAGATCTAAAAATCACAGTACGCATGGGTTATCTGTGACACTGTTCCCTCTCTAGAAAAACCTATGCTCCCTTCCGCACCACATTTTACCAAATATCCACCTTCGTCTTCCATGATATTGAGATCTTAACCGACGTTTTGTCCATAGATTTCGATTTTGACTTTTGTTGTTAATATCACCAAATGCGATTTGTTTTGTTACGGAGTAAGAATCCGACGTGTCTATTATCTAAAAATTCCATCTTGACTGAAAAATTTATATTGGCATCTGTTTCTTTTTTTTTAATAGGAATTTATGACGTTCCTGGTGTCATCACTAAAGTTAGCATTCCGTCAAAAAAGGTGAGTTTTAATTTATTTCAGAGCCGGTTCGCTCTAAAGGAGAGACCACCATTTTGTAATAAACTTGGTTTTAAGCTCGCACGCCGGCGACCAATTTGCAGGAAGCACAACAAGCGGTTCACAAAAAGCTTCTTTTTTTATTCCCGATAGCAAAATCATCATCTGAGTCAAGTCTGCATAGCTCCTGATTGTTCAAAAAAGATGATCAAGATATAGCGATATATAATCTCTCTCAATTGGTAAAGACTTAAATCATTACGAAGTAATGATGGATCGACTTTCTTTTACATTTAATGCCAAGCAAACAAGTTTTAGGTTTTTTCCATCATGGCTAATGTGATAATGTTGCAGCTGTGTGTTTGTGTTTCTTGCTTTCTTTATCTTTTAAATTGCAAACCCTGTTTCCCATCATTTTTGTCTCTTAACCTCAACTGAGTGTTATGCTTGTCTGTAAGGCTAGTTTGGCAGCCTTGTAAGTCGTCTACCTAGTTTGCTTTTATCAAAAATCTTTATTGAAAAAATTTTTTTTTTATTCCAGACATATGCTTTTGTGTCAGTATCTCACACAGAGGTAGTGGACTTTTTGCTGAGAACTGTAAGTGTTTCAAACTGGTAAACAGGAGTAATTTTTTTTTTTATTATTGATGAAGTCAATCAGAACTTTATTCCCAGCATTATCAGTCAGTTGAAGAAACCTATGTTTCTACAAACCTGGAGGAGCCCTGATTAGCTATCAAATCAAAGCTAAATACTTCTCCCGTTTAGGGCTGGAAAAACTGAGGTTGTGAAATGACTTGCTTATGGTAACATTAGATAAGGGTCTTAACAGGGTGATGGCTTTTTCTTCTGACGGTTAACCTTTTTAGCCAATTAACCTCCTTCCTTTGTGATAAAAATGAGACAATTTTACGGTTAATTTTTTTACGAATAAGGTTTAAAATTTTTTCTGTTTTTACGCCTAACGATTGAAAGTTTTTACCGTTTTATTGACACCCTCATAGATTGGTAGAGAGATGTGATGGTGAAGGATAATTTTACAAGATATACATGATTTAACATATTTACATATACGTTAGGTTTATTTTCGTTTTCTTAGACTTTAAAGTGTAGCACATCGCTACTAATACCCTTAACTGGACAAATAAAATAACTAACTAACTATAACTTATAAGAGAAACGCAAGAGGCACTTTTAAAAAGGCCTCATGGTCAGCACACTCAGGATTGAAACTTCCACGTTTGAGCCCTGGTTAAATCATTGTGTTGTGCTCTTAGGAAAGTCGCTTTACTTTTATGGTGTTTCTCTCCACTTGGAATTTTAACTGGCTTCCAAAAAAACTACCAGGAGAACTACAAAAATTTTTTTATGATTGCCTTTAATGAACTAGCACCATTACGGAAGGACTTAAAAATATGAATTCTCCTTGTGCTTGTCACTTCACACCTGAACAAAAGCAGAATAAGTTCTCAGCTTGTGCGATTTCCATTCCTTTTGCACCTGACTAAATTTTACAAGGATGCTCTAAAACTTAACAAAATGTCAATGAATTAGTAGATTAAAAGATCAAATAAGTTTTTATTCTTTACTTTGGTAGAAGAAGTTGTGGTTTTAATCGTGATGGAGTCCATGCAATGATATCAATGTACACGCCGTATGTATGAGAAAGACTACAACATTCGGACTGAACAATGCCACGCATTTAAAAGGCAGTCAGTAGAAACATTGCAATCTAAATCATACATGACTCTGGGATGATATATTATGATTATTACTTGGGATTATTTACTATAACTCACTTTTCACAGACTCTCCTGTATTGTGATGACAATGGACAGTTCTATCAAATAAAAGCTCGCCATTACAAAAGACCGCAATACAAAAAAGAACATCAACGGGATAAGTTACCAGACAAAGAATCTCAAGGACATTCCACGGATGGAGCTAATTCTCAACCAGCTAAGTATACAACACCACAACATGTTCATCAGCTTACTCCAGACTACAGCATGTTGTCGTTTTCAAAGCCAAAGAGAAGAGGGAGGAAGCAAGATGACTCAATAGTCTGGTTTTGTGGCATTGGCTCTACTTCATCAAAGAGGAAACATAAAGGGAAAAAGAAGAAGAAGAAGCAGGTTGGCGTTGCCTTCTGTTTGGCCTTTGATACTTTCAAATATGATCTTTCATTGAAACAACCAACATTAAATCTGGTCAGTCAGTAAGCGCTTGATTACAAGTTTTTTTATGCTAAATAACCTGGGTCCGATAACATTCTACCCTATGTAGTATTCTTTTCATTAAGTTAGGAAGGGTCCATCTTATTCATTTTTAAAAAATGGTCCAATTGAATTTATTTTGTACTGGCTGTGCCCATAAACCTGCCAATGTAATAAACTGGGTATGCTGTAATCAGGTAAGTGTCATTTTCCAACTAAGTCCTTGGAACATAACTGTGTAATGATGAACTTTATTTGAATGCATTCATTTCAATTTTTTCTAATGATCTGACAACGTATTTAAAACATTACTCTGGTACCTTCTTTACTGGATTTTTTTGTCGTCATTAGGAAATAATTTATTTGAGCAAACCATAATATCCTAACAATTATCATTTACTTATTTACTCTTCAACAGAAGAACAGAGGATTCTCTCATTTGCTTTAACAAAAATGTGTTTAACAAAAATGTGTTTAAAGCTGCTTGGAAAACTTACCTCTTCTTTGCAAGTTACATTTCTTGAAAACTAGGCAATAATTAGCTAATTGAATTCGCGAGCAATGTTTTGAAAAGATTTGTCAAAAAAAGGGTTTAAATTTCAATCAAAATAGGACATACTTCCTTCATTTCAATCCTTTACTTTTCATTTTCTTCCCTTTACAGTCATCAAGGCAAGAGCTTCTTAAAAGTGAGTCATTTCAGTTCGGAAGCCTTTATCCGGAAAGTAAGAGTAGCAAAGAGAATATGGGACTAACAGAGGACATAGCAGTTAAACAAATGGAAGACAGTACTGCACAGGTGACCAGTCTGAAATCAATAAAGCAAGATGAACATGTTCCCGCCATGGTTTTGAATCCCAGTAAATGTTTGGGTCCTAAGAGGTAGGATCTGCATGCACTTGTACTTAACAAAATTGTTTAAAAAATATAATTAAACGGTTGGATTCACACGAAAACTTGTAGTGAAGCTCACATCAGTGAAAAGGGGTAGGAAATACCTTGCTTTCAAATACATTAAGCGGATTCAAAGACTGCAAAACTAGGGTTGAAGTCATGTTGCTTGAGCACACCTTGGAACTTAAAGAATTAAAAGCATTGATGATTTTGTAAATGGACATGTATAGAAATTGTCGTGCTCAATTAATAAACCCTTTTTATTAATGACAAATAATAATGGTTTAATTGATATACTATCCCCACAGTGACTTAACTCTTGAGTTCTCTCCACTAAGTCTTACTTGGTTGGACATGACTTGTCTGCCTTGAAATTGTAGTACCTACCCATCCGTCAGCAGTAAAATTATTTGCTTCCTTCTATGTACTTACTATTTTCATTTGATTTTAATTAATTTTCATTGACCCGGACCATTCCCTTGTCGCTCACATACTTCTGACTTTAAAATGCAGGCATCATCATCATGTACTGTTTTGCTAACATTTTTATGAATCAGAAGCCTTTATTCTTGTACATTAAAAACCTACAGCCTTAAATTTTTTGTCCAAGAAATCAATTTTTTTAGAGAAATTGAGGCTGAAATTTGAAACAGGTTCTCACGAGTAAGTGAAGTAATACAAATAGAAATGAGACTGAGACAGATCAGCAGTGATACGGTCTCGTAAAAATGTGTCTAGGGCGATTAATTCTTTGACTAAGAATTAATTACTATTTTAAGTAAAACAATCAACTTCATTTGATTCAGATAAAATAGATAAACTAGTTTGTCATGACAAATAGACTGCTAGGAGATATTTCACGGACATTTTCTGAAATTTAACAACTCCATGCATGCTTTTTGTTACATATCTTGTTACATAACCTCTTTTAAGAATCGAATCAGCCGTATTCCATGTTCACTCTTCAGCCTGACCAGTAAATTATGAAAAAAAAATACAGCAATTGCACTCTAGAGTAGAGTGATAGAAAAAAGATTAATACTTTCTCAACCTTCATCTTTGGATACAGCTCAAAATCTCAAGTCATTGTGGACCATAGCTATCTTGGTCCAATGTGCCTACAGTTAACTAACCCATCATCAGTTGCCGATGTAAAACGGGAGATAATGGAAAGGACTGGACTTCCAGTAAGAAACCAACATCTATATTGTAATGGAAAGAAGGTAAGTGTGATAAAGGAAATAAGTTTATGGAGAAAACAGAGTTTTAATCAGCGGTATCAATGGTAAGCCACACTCCAGACTTCTCAGAGGAAAAATTACACTAGTTAGAAACGTGGAACTTAAAGCAGAAAAGTCTGCAACATTGAGACCACTTTAACTTGAAATATTGGCAATCCGTTTTGATTGAATGCTAGTACCATAGAAGAGGAGTCTCTGATATAGCTGAACCGTGACGTGCACCTCAATCACGGAACTGTTTTCATCTTACTTTTTCTTCATCTTTAAAAGTTAATCTAAAGAATGTACCTGTTTAAATCTATTAAAATTACAGCGGCATCTTTTATATTGTTCTTCGTTCTCAAAAGTGTTCCAGCATGGTAGGCTTTAGTGGCCCTGCATTAGAAGTGTTTCAATGACAAAGCACCATGAAGGTTTAATAAACAGGATTTTTGGAAAAAGCCTTAACTTTCTATGACATTTTCTCTCGCATGTCTTTCCAAAGCTTCGTGATGATCTAAATCTGGAGTCCTTACTTGATGACGATAATGACAGTGTCACGCTAAGACTATTTGAGGGCTTTCTAAAAGGTGGAGGTAAGAAAGCGATCTTACAACTATTTTGGTCTAAATAATTAACATGAAAAAATTTATAGATTCTGATTGGCCAAATGAAATGCAGTTTTTAGAGGACTGGAAAAAACAGTGCGCTCTGATTGGTTGATTGAAGCTGAAACTAAGGGATATCCGAGGATATCACCCAAGTGATACACCCCAATAATCAAATCTTACGTCCACTACGATAAGTCTTCGTTTAGAGTTTAAATCAAGATAGGAGAGCGTTTTATGGTTGTTGCGGAACAAGTGAAATATTTCTTTATAGAAAACATCCCACGCAGAAAACATTAAGCTGTTCGTAAACATTTTTTCACGCGCGTTGCGAAATTTTTGAAGGATAAGAAACACAATAGCTTCTATTTTGCGTGTAAAGGTGCTCGTATATTTGTCCTTGGACATTATCTGTTTCTTTAAAGCTCACTTCTCTCCTTGTCATCAACTGATTTCGATCCTTGAATTTCCCCTTGAACGTTTCTGAAAGATAACGTGGTTATCCAAGAAAAATGTAAATTTCTCATTATAAACTGCTAATCTAAAACACAAAAAAAATTAAAATTTTTACTCATTTTCAATTTCCCATTTCATTTTTCCATTCACCATTCCTCATTCCCGCTTTTATTAAACATCCATTCAAATAGTGTAAAAATAATTCAGACATTGATAGCACGATTCCTTGAGATGTTAGCCGCTTTTGCGACTTTAAAAAAGAGTTTGAAAAAAAACCTTGAAAACTGAGAAACCTGTTGTTTACTATGTTGTTTGCACGGTTAGAATAATAATTTTTGCCTATGATTCACGCGCATTGTTTCTGCATAAGCTATCTCGCAATTTTTTCATTAAAAAAATTACAACTCCTCGCATTGGCAGAAATATTGGACAAGATGGCGGTTCTGACATCATGTGATCGCTCTGCCTCGAAAAATCTCAAAGATTTACTTGCAGGTCTTCTTTTCTTTGTCTTTTCATCAAATAGAAGATCTGCGGTGCTCAAATTGTATAAGTCATGGTACGAAACACGCTTCTTTGCAGATCGAGCCGTGATCGCCGCCATATTGAATTCTCTTGATATTCTATTGTTCTGGAGTGTAATATGATACACCGCTGATAATTGTTAGCGGGCTCGAAATGTCCTTGATTTCTGGCGATGATTTTGATCGGTCAAAAAAACTCCTAATTTTTCACTAATTCACTCGCCAAGTTGTTATTGGCTAGTTTGTTATTGGACAGTTTGTTATGGGACAGTTCAATAGACCAATCGCATTCAAAGTTATAGTATAAATCAACCAACAACCTTGGTTTCAATCATCATAGAAATGCAAATTTTCCCTTTCTTTCATAACTTGGCTATTCTTCTTTTCTCGGGAAGTGTAGTTTTTATGAATAATTGGTAATAAGACTTCGTGTCGTCCAGTTCGGTCTGTGATAAACAAATCGGACTCCCGCGGCGCGCTCGTTCGATTTGGTTATCACTCGTATGATTACAGACAGAATTGGACTCTACTCAGTCCTATTACCGCAACGACTATTGTTAATATTATTAATAAGTAATGACATGATATGAATAATAAAACACGCGGGATGTTGGAAGAAATGTTTTTAACCACCAGCCTAAGACAAGAGGCTTACAAACTTTTCGGTATCATGCGTGTTAAACATGAAAGAGTTACAACTTACAGGTTTCTGATTCTAACATGGCTTAGAAATATTATCTGATTATAAAGTTGTTAATACTTGAGATCTCGACTTCCACTCTAACGTCTCAAAATCTAAAGTGAGAAAGCACACAGCCGGAAGACTTTATCCTGAATGAAAATATGTAAAAGTGTTGAAAAAAGCGAGGCCAAATATATTATTTCGGCAAGGTTCTGGATTTATTATATATTCTGCATTTGTTTTAGCAGTGTACCAGTATTCCAGGGCCTCATAAATTTGGAAGTTTCTCTTACCCATCCCTTTGCACTAACACAGGCAATAGGGTTATTGCGTCTTGCTTTGGACTGTTTTTTAGCCTCTTTTTACACAGTTTGTCATTGTATACATTTTCTTATTTGCCTTATTGAAAATCACCCCAGTGGCTCTTGCGATAGTCGATTCTGTTCACCATGTTAGCTTCGAGATCGATAGGTGGCCTTAACTTAGAGAAGGAGAGTTCTTTTCGCAAGGTCTTGCAATGTTGGCGATAAAATCAGTTTCCTTTTTTTATTATTGACGTATTAGAACAAATGGAACTGCAATTGAATCATGCTAAAGACTCTTCTAAGATCAAAGAACTGGGCTGTGATATTTAATTCCATATTTCTGCCCACCCACCATACATCTTAATTCGTTGTTGGGAGTATACACAAATATGACCATTCAGTAGTTGATATGGAGTATTTGAGTTATCTTATCAGCTATGACGAAATATACTATTTGTTAAGCAAACAGAATCATAAACGTTGAATTCTTACACTTACCTTAGAGCAGTATTTGTTAGCTTGTTAAAAGGAGTGAACTTTGTTAAACCTTTGAACCACAGTAAGACCGATGGAGAAACAAGATCAAGCTGTGGGCGCTGTTGGAGGGGAAAGAGATCAGTCAGTGTTGAGAACAGAAGGTGAGTATCATTCAGTAACAATCTGAGCGCATAAGGACAAGGCTAATTTCTTTGGCGTCAAATACATTGGCCTCCCGCTCTCTCGAGCCTTAAGCTCATGATATTGTCGGTCAGCGGCTACTCGCACGTCCATTCGTAAGAGATACATTCTTGTAGTCCGCTATGTTTATTGCACCAACCACGAATAAAGGAAGTTCTGTCATTGGTATTGGCCCCTACACTTGGTGTCAGAAGTGGGATAACACGATGGCGAACCTTAAAAGACCGGAGCCCAAAGTGGTGGGAAACGTGAGTGAAAATTTCGAGTTACGATTCAACGATCACTGCATAAAAGCTAATTACCGCGACCTCGCTAAAAATCCTGTTGCAGAAAGAGTGCTCATTACAAAAGTCCTCTGTTAGAAATTTCAGCTTTATACTCGGCAAATTCAAATTCCAGACGGCGATTAAAAAAAAAACCTTGGGTTTGGATGGATAAACCGCGAGCTCATTACACAGGCAGCACGGGAACTTCACTCCTGACTGATCGATACAAGTTCTGGACCACCTCCTAAGCCTCCCAGATGTCCATTCAAGAGTGGGAAGTTACGGCGAGACACGCTGGCAGCCTATATGCTATGGCGATCTAACATGATGAACTTTGTAGAGACAAATTTATATTTGGGTTGAGTGAGGATAACATACGTACGGAGTCGCTGAAAAAACATATAAAACCTGACAACTCAGAGAAGTCCCTGTCCGATGTAATCGCCGAAGCAAGAGCTATAGATTCCGCCAAGTAGACAAACAAGTTAATCGCAGACCCGTCCAAAGGAATCGACGAAAATGTCCACTGGATAGGCGTCAGACACGGCCAGATGATGGTACATGTTTTTTTGTGCGGTGATTGGCGTGGTCCACATTCCTGGAAATTGTGTCAAGCTAATGGAAAGACCTTCATTTGGGGTCATCTCTGGCCATCGGATATTGTAGATGCGCCGCAGACAGGTGTTGAAGAATGTCTGGATTTTCTGTAGCATTGTCCTCCAAGTTTCGCATCCGTAAAGCAAGACTGACTTCACATTGGAGTTGAAGATGCTAAGTTTGGTTCTTGTCCAGATCTCCTTGGACGACCAGATGTTCTTGAGCATGACAAAAACTGCTCTGGCCTTGCCAATCCTGGCTGTGACATCTCTGTCCATGCCCCCCTGTCGGTCAACTGCACTCCCAAGGTAGATGAAGGAATCCACTTCCCTGATGGGCTCTCCACCGACTGTGACTGGTGCTTTGGCAGTGGTGTTAATCTTCATCAGCAAAATGAAAGAGCTGTGGGAGCGAGCAAGACAGGAACCAGTAGCAAAACAAATTCTGAAGAGAAAGTGGGGCTGGATTGGACACACCCTCAGGAATCCAGCACCACACGCCAAGCTCTGACCTAGAACCCGCAGGGAAAGAGGAAGAGAGGCCGGCCTCGCAACAGCTGGAAGCGAGACACTGAGGCAGAGCTCAAGCAGCAAGGTACAAACTGGACAGGAGCAGCAAGATTAGCCCAGAACAGAGTGCGATGGCGAGGGGTCGTCGATGGCCTATGTTCCATGTGGAACCACGGGCCTAAGTAAGTAGTAAGTAGTAATGGAAAGACCTGCACCAGTTGTGGTGACAACGACCATTTTGCCCGTGTCTGCCTAGACACAAGTTCACAGCATTGCATCGGTTGAGAAGTCCAAACGACACTTCACAAACCTATCACTTTCCACCACGGGCCTGACATTCGAGCAAGTAAGGTTCCAAATAGACACTGCAGCAACCTGCAACACCATGTCAGCCAGCACCCTACGCTCCTTCTTCTCAGATGTCGAAGTAAATCGTTCGCTACCGTCTACATCCCTATGGAAACTCCAAGCTGCTTCATCCGATTGGTCCGGTGGAACTAATGTGCGAAAAGAACAACAAGTTTGACACCCCTATCTTTTAAGTCCTGCCAGACTCCTGCATTGGGATCAAGCCACCACTTCTGTCGGGTAGAGACAGCGAAAGACGAAGACTTATTAGAGTTCAAGCAGACGAGATTCAATCCCTCTGTTCATCGGCAGACGATAACGCGAGTACCAAACACGATGACCTCCCTGGATTCTAGTTTACTACACAAGTTGACGCCAGCACACAGCACCATGCCAAAACCAAGGGAACCTTAAGACATACAACCACCTTCAGCGACTACACGAGACCACAGGCAGCCCATGCAATCCCCCGTCATCACCTTCTCCCCCTATTACTATTCCTTCAAACCGTAGACTCCCACCACCAGGCCAGCTGCAAATGGAGGACGTCCTACTCCAATATGCTGACACGTTCAAGGGCTTAGGCTAGCATGGACCACCTGTTCACCTTCAGATTGATGAAAGCGTTCAGCCCGTCTAGATGCCAGTTCATAGAATACCAGTGGCGAAAAGAGCAAAGGGGAAAGAGGCCTTAGACCAATACTTGCGGGAAGATGTCCTGGTCACAGTAAATGAACCAACCCCATGATGCTCAAATGAATTAATTGGAGAAACCCCTAAGAAACTCTGAGTATGCATCGATCCCGGCCAAACAGTAAACAAAGCCATCCATCGCCCAAAACATCAAATGCCCACCCCAAATGAAATGCTTCATAAACTTAGTTCAGCTTCCCTCTAGTGGATGTTAGAGGAGGTTTCCTCCACATCCCCCTAGAGGAGGATTCCTCATGGATAACAACCATGTATACATTATATGACAAATACAGGTAACTTCGTTTGCCATTTAGTATTACCAGTGCGCCACACGAGTTTCATATGAGGCTGACATCTGCATCGGAAGGCTTAGATGGGATAGTATGAAGAGCCGATGACATCCTTGTGTATGGGGAAGGCAACAACTTCGAGGATGCTCAGGCAGAGCATGACCGAAGGTTCATCGCCGTGATGGAACGCTGTCACCAGAGATCCATCAAGCTCAGCGCGGGCAAACAACGCTTTAGGCTTAAAGAGGTCAAGTTCATGGGCACAATTATCTCAGGTAACAGAATGAAACCTGATCCGGACAAAGTAGCAGCGATATTACAGATGCCAACACCACAGAACAAGCCAGCACTCCTTTGTTTCATGGGCATGGTTAACTATCTGCGCTTTTCTGCCCTAACCTGAGCTCCGTAATTCAACCCTTGCGCGTGTTAACCTAGGACGCTGTGTCATTTTCATGGTCCATGGCTCAAGAGAAAGCCTTCAAAAAGGCAAAGCGACTGACTTCATCCGCTCTATTATTAGCCTATTATGACCTCCTGAAATCAGTTGTACTCCAGGCAGATGCCAGTGATAATGCTGTTGGTGGCGCCCTTTTACAACCCAATGATGATGGTAAACTACAACCAGCTGCCTTCGCGTCCTCAAGCATGAATCCCACGGAACAGCGCTACTCTCAGATAGAGAAAGAGTGCCTAGCAATCTGCAACTGCTTCCGAAAGTTTGACCAGTGGCTGTATGGCAAGACTGACATTGAAGTCCACACAGATCACTAGCTATTAGAAACTATTATGAAGAAATCACTGAACAAGGCACTGGCCCACCTACAACGAATGCTTTGAGATTTCAGCGCTATCAGTTCACAATAAAGTACAAGGGAGGGCCGACTCTTTACCTGGCAGACACACTCTCTCGTGCAGCCCTGCCCCATCTAATAACAGCACGAGAACGGGACTGTGATGTTTTCAGTATGAAGATGGAGTCAGATTACGACGCTCGAAATCCGAAACTAACTTAAAGCACCGAAAGCCAGTTACGTAAGGAAAGTTAAAAAGACACCACACTGAAGACTATATACGAAGTCATTGTCAAAGGGTGGCCAGCAGACAGAGCAGACATCCCGAGTCTTTGCGCCCCAACTGGAACTATAGGGACGAACTGTCAGTGAAAACTGGCATTATTTACAAAGGCGCCAAAGTTATAGTGCCCCAATCAATGCAAAAGGACATGCTTCGCAAGATCCACGCCAATCACTTTGGTGGAGAATTGAACATAAATGTGACTCGTTAAGTCCTCTTTTGGTCAGGATAGCGAAAGTCCATCCAAGACATGTGTGATGTGTGTAGTACTTGCGCCAAGTATGGCCACTTTGCACCAAAAGAACCAATGAAATACTTACCAATACCAACTGACCCCAGCAGATAGTCAGCCAAGATCTCTGTGAGCTGGAGGAGCAAACATACTTTGTGACTGTATGCCATTCCTCCGACAGGAACGTGGTGTACAAACTAGAAGTAACCCATTCCTCAACAGTCATCGAAAAAACAAAAGCTCACTTCGCAAGATACGGTGTTCCAGCTTTTTACCACATTGATAAAGGGCTACAGTTTATCAGTGAAGACTAGTGGAAGTTTTCTGTTGAATACGGGTTTAAACATACCAAGTCATCACCCTACTATCCTAAAGGTAATGGAAGAGCCGAGCCAACCGTTAAAGTTGCGGAATTCATGTTGAAAAAGGCTGATGACTTCAACAGTGCCATGCTGATACACAGGAACACCCCGCCTGAAGGTCACACCTACTTACCAGCCCAGTGCATGCTCCTACGACGTACCAGAACTACGCCACCCACCACAGATCAACTCTTGACCCCCACCATGCTAAACCTTAGAATCGTTGAGGAGGAGATCTCAAAGAAAAGGCGCGATAGCAAGACCTACTAAGACAAGTCAGCTAGTTTAGAACGAGGACCTTTCATTATTGGTACCTATGCTTACGCTAAACCACCTCCGCACCAGCGTAGGAAACCATGGATCTTTGGAGAAGTGATAAACCATGAAAAACCTCAGTCTTACACAATCCGCAATGCTTAAGGCCGCATGATTCGAAGGAACAGAGTCCAACTAAAGCCTGCAGCCCCACCTTCCTGTAACCACCCCGGGCAGAAATCGAAACAAGCACGCATAACACAAACATTTACCAAAACCGTCAATAGAAACTGTAGAGCAACCACAGTCCAATCAACACCCTTCAGCCAAACGCTGCCTACGACTTTTAGGACCCCCCATCCTCAAACCCCAGTCAGTTAGCAAATCATAAACACCACACCAGTTGACCCACAGGCCCTTAACGCACCCCCTCAAGACAAAGCACCAGATATTGCGCCACCACAGCCCCGGGAACTGACACGATCAAAAGTCAAGCAGACCCGGTCTATACGGCTGATTAAAACCCCAGAAAGACTGAAAGACTACGTCACAAACTAATCATAAGTTTTCTTTAATTTATGAGCATCGACTACAAGTCACTGAACACACAAACAGTTAACATGCAGTTCTACTATCGCTCCACACTCTAGTGTAGGATACTGTCTGTATGGTCCTAGGCTACGGGTTTTAAGTCATAGTCTCAGGTTGGTTTTTGTTTTGGTTTGTTTTAGTCTCTTTCTTTTATTTTGCAAAGGGGGGAGATGTCGGTCAGCGGCTACTTGTACGATCAAACGTAGGAGATGCGTTCTTGTAGTGTTACGTTCAACTACATTCTTATAGTAGTAGAACAGTATTTGCCAGCTTGTTAAAAGGAGTGAACTTTGTTAAACCTTTAAACCACAGTAAGACAAATGGAGAAACAAGATCAAGCTGAGAGCGCTGTTGGAGGGGAAGGAGATCAGTCAGTGTTGGGAACAGAAGGTGAGTATTATTCAGTAACAATCTGAGTGCACAAGGATACAGCTAATTTCTTTAGCGTCATATTACTTCGGCAAGGTTCTGGACTTATTATACATGCTGCATTTGTTTTAGCAGTGTACCAGTATTCCAGGGCCTCATAAATTTGGAAGTTTCTCTTACCCATCCCTTTGCACTAACACAGGCAATAGTAGGGTTATTGCGTCTTGCTTTGGACTGTTTTTTAGCCTCTTTTTACACAGTTTGTCATTGTATACATTTTCTTATTTGCCTTATTGAAAATCACCCCAGTGGCTCTTGCGATAGTCGATTCTGTTCACCATGTTAGCTTCGAGATCGATAGGTGGCCTTAACTTAGAGAAGGAGAGTTCTTTCGCAAGGCCTTGCAATGTTGGCGACAAAATCAATTTCCTTTTTTTATTATTGACGTATTAGAACAAATGGAACTGCAATTGAATCATGCTAAAGAGTCTTATAAGATCAAAGAACTGGGCTGTGATATTTAATTCCATATTTCTACCCACCCACCATACATCTTAATTCGTTGTTGGGAGTATACACAAATATGACCATTAAGTGGTTGATATGGAGTATTTGAATTATCTTATCAGCTATGACGAAATATACTATTTGTTAAGCAAACAGAATCATAAACGTTGAATTCTTACACTTACCTTAGAGCAGTATTTGTTAGCTTGTTAAAAGGAGTGAACTTTGTTAAACCTTTAAACCACAGTAAGACCGATGGAGAAACAAGATCAAGCTGAGAGCGCTGTTGGAGGGGAAGGAGATCAGTCAGTGTTGGGAACAGAAGGTGAGTATTATTCAGTAACAATCTGAGCGCATAAGGATAAGGCTAATTTCTTCAGCGTCAAATACATTGGTCTCCCACTCTCTCGAACCTTAGGCTCATGATATAAGTGTTTATCAAGCTGAAAAGGTAGGAATATACATGATAAAAGCTTAGAGGAAGTAAAATGAGTAGAAATAAGATCTAGAGACTACACGTATTAGTATAATCAATCGGTTGAGTCTGAGAGTAATTGTGATATAATGAGTAGGAGTATGGTTTTATATTAAAATGTGCACTCATTAGGTCAATGGAAATATGAATATAAATAAGATAACCTAAAAGGTAATTGCTGTATAGCCAGCGAATAAAACTCAAATTTTTTTAGTGTCTGTAAAAAAATAAAACATATTGTGCGCTTTTGCGACTGATGGCAGCTTATTCCAAATACGAGAAATGAGGTAAGGGTACGACCAGTTAATGAATCTGCCATCATTATAATAATTTTGTCCTACAAGTTTAGTCCACTACTCCTGAAATTGAATGGCGTGGCTAGGTTTAAATAAGTTAGCTATATATCGTGGGCCACTATCCTTGAAACATTTAAAGAATATTAACAGAGATTGTTCCATACGTTGCAATGTTTTCATGCCCACCATCTTAAGTACTTTTTTCCAAGTTCATCATTTATGAAGACAGTTGTTGTTAAGTTGGGAAGATAGTTGTCTTTCCCTTCCTTGATTAAGTTGAATTGAAGCAAAACAAGGATTTGTTTGTCGTATGTTGGGTCGTATATCGTCTGCTTAGAGGGAGGAGACAGAAACAGTTTCGTTAATATCTTTCGTGAAGATTTTAAATAATAAATGGCTGAGGAGACTTCCCTTCGGAACGCCACAACGAAAAGGTGACCATTCTGTCGCGTGTCACCTTTGTTTGTATTTATACAAATAAGCCCAAATATGATCTTAAAAGTGGCACATGCAGTAGAAAGCCTTGGACGGATCGATAGCAACTACATTCAATTCTTTCTTTTCGTTGCATGCGCTTCTCCAATCGTCTGCTAGTTTGATCAGAGCTGTAGCGCAGGAATGTCCCTTGAGGAAATCCAACAAGTTTGGTGAGAATAATGGTGTAAGGAAGGCGTAGAGCTGATTGAACGTCGCTTTCTCGATTAGTTTGGAAATTGCAGAGAGGACACTGACTGGTCCGTAATTGTTTTTGTCGGTCACATCAACCTTCTTGTGTATAGGGGTGACATTACTCATTTTCCAATCACTGAGCAAGATACTGGTGCGAATACAATAATTAAACAGAGACGTTAATGGAGTAGTCACGGCTCTAGCAGACAGTTCTTGAATCTTTGAGTAGAGAACATCAGGGCCTGCAGATTTCTTGGCATTCATCTTAAATATGTGGTCGGTTACGGTTTCCGTGTTTATTTCCTTAAAAGCAAAGTTGAGATAGAGCGACTGCTTTTCATTGCCGCAATGCTACGACGGTCGTTTAGGTCCTCTTTCGTGAAACTTAAGGCAGAGTCCTGTCTTTCTGGGTTCACAAAGAAGTGGTTAGATATACGAGTTTCCCATCATCCAGAGGATGAATTTTATTTGTGCCAGCAGTGTTAAATTTGTTATTCGGAAGAAGTAGCTTCATAACGCACGACGGAATTTCTTATAGAGTTGATTTCGTATGCAGATTTTTTTTTGTAAAACAGGAATGATAATTCGTTATTCGCAAGAAGTGGCTTCATGACGCACGACGGAATTTCTTAGAGAGTTGATTTCGTATGAAGATTTGTTTTTGTAAAACAGGAATGATCCATGGCGGTTGGTTGTTGCGGAGCTGTATTTGTTGTACACTTGCATGCTCGTCGAGTACTTGTTTATTAAGACCAAGCCAATATGACTACGTGTTATCAATGTTATCATAAATGTACGAGCTGTCCTGGGAAATGTTTCTCATAATCAAATAAATCCTGATCTAAAGGGGTTACCGTATTTATTTGGCTATAAGCCGAGCGATTTTTACTCAAATTCATGCTAATATTTGATATAATCTGAACTATGGGAAGAGGTTTGGCTTATTGCCGAGATTTTTTCTAAAACAAAACGTTTTCGACTTATTAGAACAATGAGCGAAAATAAATAAAATAAACTCAGGGTACAGTATGTTGGTCATAAACTTTTTTATTTTGTGGTGGCTCCTAAAGAAGCCGTTTGTTTGTAGTTGGAGCGATCTGTTCTTACTGCTCATCGTCTTCACTGTCGGTATCGAATTCATCATCCATTTCCTCATCTCAGATTGTTTACTTAATGCCGTGCACTAAGTTTTATTGACTCGGTAGGATCACATTAAATTCATGTTAACTGCGATTGGTCGCTTTCAGTTCAATAGCCGAAATTAATGTTAATTAATTATCGGTTAACGCTTTGCAATTGCGTGTGTTTCCGGAGAGGTCAATCTCTCTTTCTTATACTTTTCGATCCTTCTAAATATTCATGACAATCAGTGTGTTTCATTTGTGAAGTTTCTGTCTTTTTATGAACACTGTGTTCTAAAATAGGTCTCGCTTATGGCCGAATGTTTTTTACTTAGCTAAATAAATACGGTAAGTTTCTAAAAAACTGTGGTGCTGCGTCGGTGGGAGGGTATAACAGGGTAGTTTAGCATTATCATCTGAGTTGATAACGTAAATTGGCCTCCGTAAAGAGTTTTAAAGCTGACGTTTCGAGCGTTAGCCCTTCGTTATTCGCTCTGACGAAGGGCTGACGCTCGAAACGTCAGCTTTAAAACTCTTTACGGTGGCCAATTTTACATTATCAACTCAGTTGATAATACTTAATTACCCTGTTAAATTCTGATGTAAGTTCTTCAGCGATCTAAACTCTTTTGTTCTTGCTTAGGTGAATGAATGAATGAAAAACTTTATTCATGTGTCAATCGATCTAGCCGAGGGTAAGAAACCCTCTACTAATAGGGGGACACCTAGACTCAATACAATAAGTTAAAATTCAACTAATTTAACTATTTACAATAGATAAAATTTAAATACGTCATTGACATTAAGAACTAAAAGTTTAAACTACCTTATTTAATACTCAAAAAATGAAAACAAATTTTTGACAGTCGGTGGGCACAGATTATGCTTCACTTTAAACATTAAACAAGCTATATCCTGTAGCCTTCTTTCATAAAGAGATTTTAAATTAGCCTTCTTAAGTAATTGCTCATATGTAGATTTACTATCTCTGAAGACTGCACGCAAACCCCTCTCCTGAGTGCGTTCAAGTTTTCTCTTGTCACTTGCTCGGCAAAAATGCCAGGTGAGATGGCAGTAGGTGAGGTACGGAAGGATCGCAGCCTTAAAAAGGTGTAGTTTAGCAACGGTGGGCACTAAGTTTTTGAGTCTCATTAGTACGCCTATCCTCTGGTTAGCTTTCTTGCACGTGATATTTATGTGCACACTGAAATTAAGCTTGTTGTCCATAGTGACACCTAGTAACTTAATACTGTTCATAGAATCAATGTCAGTTCCTTGTACATTTACGTTTATCTCATCTCTCCCGTCTCTTTGTTTATTGTTGATCAACATGGTATGGTATTTGGAGAGGTTCCCCTTAAGTAAGTTCGACTCATACCATGAAGATGCTTTTCTTGCGTTTGCATTAAGGTTGTCATTAATCGTAGCAACGTTATCACTAATTTCAAAAAGCTGATGGTCATCAGCATACATGCTTAGATTCCGTTCAATTTCATAGACTAAGTCATTTTGAAAAATATTCCACAGCAACGGTCCCAAAGCTGAACCCTTGAGGCAACCTCGGTTAACCCGTTTCCAGTAACTTTTTCGAGATGCAAGCTTCACTCTGTTAGAGCGCCCACATAAATAGGAGCGCAACAAATTGATGAAATTTTCTTCAAAACCATATGCTCTTAGTTTACTCAGCAGCAGAGCTGGATGCATAGGTCTCAATGGCTTTTGTTTCCTCACATCACAGCTGAGGTCGTAATCACTAATTTCAACCAGAAAAATTCCACTCGTTGCCATTCTGTCAGAGTGTGATGTCAGACAAATTTCGAATAATGTTCTTGAATAGTTTGTTGTTCTCGTAGCTTCATGAGTAACGTTCGTTAGGCAGAATTGATCATTGAATTTGGTCAAGTCTTTGTTAGGGCCATTCGGGTTATCAGAGGATTCAATCACATTCATATTGAAGTCTCCGGAATAAAATTATTGACTTAACATTTTCCAGGAGATCAGTAGCAAGCACAGAGTAGGAACTAGTTGTTAGCACATCCCTTTACGTCTTAACAATTAGATTCAATGTACCTTTTGGCTCAGATTTAATCTGTCAGCGGGTCGTAACTTTTCTCGATTAGATTAAAGATTTCATCCGATTTTTTTAATATGCTGTTTACGTTTAGATGACCAATTTTAAGTTATTTTATAATATCCGGTTACGTTCGAAGAAAGCTTTTGGTGACAATCGAGAGTTTTATCTGTAGAGGTGGCGGGTTCATTAGGTGAGTCTACGGAGTTGAAATCCCAAGTCCTGTGGAAGGGAATTTCACTCAAAATGTACTCATGGCGTATACAGTTTACAGGAATATGACCTCTTATATATTTTAATTCGTTGCGTTGGATGTTTGAACGACAAGCATGTATTAAAGAAAGACACTTCTCACGCATTAAGCTCTTGTGGTTGTTCTATACATTTTTCGGACATTTAAGACACCTCACTACAGCAGATCTTTTCTGGGTGTCATTTGGGCTAGGCCGTTGGTGTCAATATCACTGTGTTCAATGTACATATAGCAGGATTGAAGGAGGCTGTTTGGCGAATAAATTGTTCGTTTCCTTAAAAATCGTTTCCTTCTGGGGAGAAAGACGGAACAGTACGAAGAATGGGCATTGAGCAGAGAGGCGCCACGTGAATGAAGTAAATCCAACATGAGGGACACTACGGCTCCAAATAAAATCGCATTTTTACGGTGGAGCTCCGAGGATATTGTGAGGAAATGAATCCTGCTGAAGTCAGCAATTACTTGAAGCAAAAAATCGTTGTCAAAGAGCAAATCAAAGTTGGACGAATTAACAAAAACCTGCAGCTTAAATAGATTGATCCGACCGCCATGAATACCGCTGAGATCTGCATCAAATCTTTTAAAATAATCATCTCCAATTCAAGTTCAAAAGGTTCTTTGACCGTTCTGAGCCTACCTTAATTCCAAGTCTGGCAATTGACCGTAAATGCAAAAAACGCCCCTCATCCAGAGCTATAAGTTTCTCATAAACCCCTATCTCTATGATTGTAGGTTTTCTACCTAAAGGATTGCTGCTGTGTGCAGTATTCATAGAGCTAAGTAACAGGTCTCGCATTTTTGCTCTCAGTTAGCTTTAGGAGGCCCTCGAGGGCGTCTAGTGATCGGTTTTTATGTCACTTGTATCGGAAATCAAGGAGGAAAACTAAACGACAGTAGTGTGCACCTTTAACTGTGTCATTTATAAGTTGAAAAATACACATTGTAACACAAAATTCAAGAAAGCTGATCTTTATATCATTAATCTCTCATTCTTCTTTGTTCTCTTTGCAATCTGTAGGGGGACAATCGATGGAAAATTGGAACCCACAGAAAACAGCTGCGTGGCTCTGTTCAATTGGTCCATATGAGAAGTATGCTGACATCTGTCGGAAGCAAGGTATCGGTGGACGCGCTTTATTATTGTTAGGGTCCAAATACCGTGAGCAACTATGTTCGGTTCTTAACTTGAAAAAGGGACCTGAAATAGTCTTGATGAAACATTTGACACCGCATTTAGAGGCGTTTGATCAAGAAAAACCTCAGAAAGCCTACACGTCTTCAGAGGAGGTGAAAAGATGGACTTGTGCAGAACTTTGCAGTTGGCTTAAGGAATTCGGATTATCACAAGAATGTTTAGAAAAAGCAGAGGAAGAAGAAATTGATGGCCAAGCCTTTTTGATAATGACTAAATCTAGTGAACTGAGAGATTACTTGAAATTGAACAAGGGTCCGTGGATTGTTCTTCAGCACGAGGTATCTTTTATAGATGAAGAAAACGGTAAAACAGACTCACCAGATAAAGCTCTCCACCCAATGCCGACAAAAGATATGGATGAGCCTAAAAAGCCACTGGCCTCTGAAAATCCTGCGACTCAAAACATTTCAGATATAACGCCACCTCTATCAAAGGAAGAAGAAAAGCTTGCACTCCTAAACGACGCGCTTAAACTGAACGTGAAGTCTGTAAGTGATCCTGCCGATACAAGTGTATGTAGATGTGAAGTGAGATCAATTTTTGTGGAACGCGGTAAGGGAGCAAATCCTTTAGAAGATTTATTCTGCTTTATTATAATCACAACAGAAGAGCTAAAAGGAAGAGACCTCAAGAAATTATGGGCAAAAATTGTGGAGAAAACAAAGGATTGGATGAAATTGTTATCACAGGAGCAATTAAAGGCATTTACCTGGGGCGAAGAATCGGAACAGATTATATATAAGCCAACAAGCGAGAGCAGCGGGGAGGAGTTGTGTTTCCGGAGTAAAGGAGACGTACGTCAAATTTCTCTCGACAAGCTCACAGACGATGAATTCCAGAAGAGGTGCTTCGTTATATTGATCGATAAACAGCTGGAGTCCAAGCAAAAGAAGACATGTACCTACAGATTTTCTTTCGATAGAAAATATAAGAAATTTTATGCCCTCAAACTAAAACTGGACAGCAAATATCACGCCACATTTGATGTAAACAAAATCGACCTGAAGTGGAGCAAGCATTTTGCTGCGTTGAAGAACGTAGCACGTGACTTAATCAGGGATAATCAAATTTTATCCCAAAGGAAAAGTAGACCAACTCTCGATAAACAAAGATATCAAACACCGCGACATTTCAATAGGGATTGTGGAAAAACTAGTTACACTAAAGGTTTTATCTTCGATTGTTGGGAGACTGGCCCAAAAGATATGATCGTACCCATACACGAGTACAAAATACTACAAACAGGTCCCAACTCTTGCAAAGATGATATTTTGAAAAAGTTTGTCTTCGAGACCTTGAGGTTTGCCTGCGGCTGTCTTAATGAAAGAACGAATGGAACAATACACTTTGGAGTGGCAGACGAAAAGGAAACCCAAGCCTGTGGATACTACCCAAGAGAAATTGTAGGCACTGACGTCGAAGAAGAGCCCTTGTACGACGAAAAACTAACGGAGTTCATCGGCAAGTGCTTTGTTGGCCCAAGTAAAAGCATTGTTCACAGATGTATCCGTCCTCCTGTTTTTATACCTGTAAGAGGCCCACTTACCGAAGAAGGGTCTGGTGACAGGGTGGTTATAGAGGTTGACATTGAACCAGCCTATTCATTTTGTAAAGGGGAGACTTTCAGGGCTTGTTTGAAGGATCTGAAGCGAGGAAAAAAGGATTCTGAAGAATCAGTCTATGTTAGACATGGATCGAGTACAAAGGCAATTGTAGATAAGGAGGAACAGTTAGAGTATATGAGAAACCAGCCCAAGTTAGATGAGGCAAGGAAGAATCGTGAGCAAGAATCATTGAAACAGCCAGTGGTAAATCAAGAATCTACTCAAGACCTTTTTAATAAACTCAAGAGACTTCTCTGTGGAAACAAAAAGGTCTTAGACTCTTCGGTTTATCCGATTTTAGTTTTAAGCAAGCCAGATGCCACTACGAATCAATCTTTTCTGGACGAAACGTTTAGTTTTATTCAAAAAATCAATTGGCTAACTGTCTTTGATTTTGACGATAACGGTTCACGTAGCAGTGGCCTTTGTAAGGTATTCAAGTCCAGCTCTTATTCGCCTCAGGTAGACATACACGAAGCAGAGGACTATGACGAAGATGATGAGGCTGTTGAAAACATCTACTACAAACTTTCTTGGATATTTGGAAATGGTCTCTCAGAACTAAAGAAAGAGGCAGTAGGGTTTAAGAAGTGGCACAATTCAAAGAGGAAAAGGGGTCTAAGCAAAGTGATTCAATCCTTTGGCAAAAGAATTCCTGGAGCTAGGGCAGTAGTTTTGTTTCTGCTGCTGTCGAAAGACTATCAGGCTATGACGGATATCTTTGAAGAATTCTGTACATACTTTGATGGTCCTAACCAGTTGATTTACGTGGCTGAGAGTCCTGAAATTGTTACTGATTGGGAGGCAAACCTTTCAAAAACCTGCTTAGAGGAGCACGAACTTCAAGAGAGAGGCATTGTTGGAATGTCGTGGACTGAATTTCAGGAATGTATGGAACAGATTACTTGTGGACCTAACAGAGACCAACGTTACGTCATCATGACGACGGGAGCTCACTATCCTTTGAGAAATGTTTCGTTTAACCTTGAGATTGTTAGTGCAAAAGAATGCGAGAGTGAATTAAGTAATTTAAGCTCCGCAGATCGTTTAAAGATGTCGTCAGAGGTAGAGGAAAACTTCTATCGAGGATATCCTGTACATTGGAAGAATTTCTGGTTTACAGATTCTCATGAGAACCATGTTCTTCGACGTGATAGTTACCGGGACCTAAGAAGGTTAATAGAAAATGTATATTCTCGTGGAACAGAGGGAAGGGTACAAACCATTACCATATATCACCATGTAGGTGCTGGAGCCACTACCATGGCTAAGCAAGCCTTGTGGGATTTTCGCAACAACCCAAAGTATCCTTACCGTTGTGCTGTAATAACAAACATTGATTATAATACTCCCACAGAGATTTTCCAGTTGAGAAAGATTGGCTATGACGAAGAAAGTGATGGGAAGATTCCACCGGTTTTAGCACTTGTCGAGGTTACAGACGACTTTATGTTCAGAGAGCTACGGTCACAAGTCGTCGATCAGGCCCTCAAATTTACCAAAACACCTTCTCCTGTTTGTGTATTTCTGTACTGCAAACCTACGCAAAATCCTAAACAGTGTTCGGAAAAAGAAAAGGCATCAAGTGTGTTCCTTGAGCAGCTTCTTAGCGAAGAAGAGGTGCGCTGGTTTAAAGATAAGTATACTGCAATGAAACAACAACTGGAGAACAGAGACCCAAGACGCGATTTTGAGGAGTATGCAAACGAGAACTTGATTTCTTTTATGATAATGAAGGAGAACTACAATCCGAAATACGCTTCTAGTATTGTGGAAAGAAATATTAAACATGTCACTGGACGTGATGAATTGACATTGTTAAAGTTCTGTTCCCTTCTCAACATATGCAGCCCATATGCAGTGTTTGTGTCGTGTTTTGATACATTGATGTTATCTCCAAGTGCCCTTCGCAAGAGAATCTTTGTGGACTGGGTTGAATACCTCAGCCACTCAGCCCGAATTTTTTTGCGAGAGGTAGACCGTAGTACGCATTCCGGCACAGGGAGGGCCATCGCCATAATCCACCCAGTCATTGCTAATGAGTTGCTTGACAAGATTGCAGCAAAAGAAGGAAAAAGTGTCAGCGAAATCGCAGTGGAGTTCATAGAGTCTCCTTTGTTACAAAGTGAAACGAAGTCGTTTACGTCCGAGGATCTACGTGAAGAAGCAAACAGAATGCTGAAGCATCGAAAGAAGTATGAATATGGCGACCATGAGCAAACTAAGTTTTCGCCGTTAATTGAGAAGATTTTGTACACACGAGACTCTGATGATGGGGAACAGCCCACGGAAGAGAACGTAAAGGACGCTGTGATGGTCCTTGAGAAAGGGTTAGAGAGATTTATGGACCCTGTGCTCGCTCAACAAATAGCCAGAGTCTTTTACGTCAATGCTGGAGCAATTTCTGAAGAATCCAAAAAAAGTGTATGCTTTGACAAAGCTCTAGAGTATTGCGACAAGGCCATTAAAATGAATCAGAATTCCTTTTTACTGGACACCAAGGGGCGCATTTATGAGAATAAAATGAAAGTTTTTTATGGCAAAATCCGAGAAAATAACCTCATGGTAGAAATAGATGACGTTACTCAAGTTTTACCCATTGCCTTTGAAGCAATGAAGTGGTTTCAGGAGTCAATCGCGGCATCAGTGGATTATGAAAACAAATATGGTTTCCATGGTCAACTCTCTGTTATGTTTTACCTGTTAGACGTGCTTCGCTGCACACGACTGTTCTGGGGCCAAGAAGGATTAAAAAGATTACAAGGGTATCTAGGATATGGGCAAGTAATACCGCAAGAAGTTCAATCACCCTGGAGGGATTATCACGAGTCAATTAAAGGTCTGCGAAACCGATTTTCCCATTGCATGGAACAACTTTCAGAGGATTTCACAATCTTCAAGGGAAGTACTCTAGCAGCAAAGTTGCTTCCTAAACAGATTGCTCGGTTTAAAGCTCAGTATATAATTTACTTTGGTGAAATTGAAGAGGCGTTGGAGCTGAAGACTGGTGAGGAGCGTTGGGAGTACCGATGGCAAAAAATCAATTGCTATCTTGCTGGAGGTATTTTTTCGAGTGTATTCAACATTTCTCACTTTAAAGCTGAACCCAAATCTCACCACGAAACTCTTAAGCTACTCCGGGAATTAGCGTATGAGAATTATCGTGAAAACGCTGACAGAGACCGATATAAAGACTTTTTACTTTATATAACAACCAGCATGGCTCTTCACTCTCCACACGGTGATAATTCGAAACAGAAATCAGCCAAGAAAGTAAAGCAGAGGAGCGAGGAGTATAGAGAAATTTACACATTTGTAGAAAAATTGTTCGCGTTGGAAGCTTTCGACGAAAGATATAAGGGAATCTATGCACATTTGCTTAAGGTGATGTTTCTTTGGCCTCGCGAAAATATCGAACTGAACAATTACCGAGTGAAAGATTTTTACGATGCGTTGCTTCAGCTGAAGAACCGGTGGTCTAAAAAGGGCAAAAACGAAATAGATGTTAATGAAACGCGTAAGCAAAACGCTTATAAACACATGGCTTTCAAGAAGGAGCATAAACAATACACCACACTCTTCTTCTTGGGCCAAGGTGATGGGTTGGACGTCTTTGTGCATATTAATGAACTGCCTCAGTATCGAGGATCTGTGAACTTTACAGATTGGAAAACTTTAGAAAGACTCCAACTTCTTACGGGAGTGGTTGAAAGTAAAAATATCATAAGAGTTAAGAATCCTTGGGACCAAAGTCGAGGCATCGATGTTTACTATTCTCCATTTCGCCAAGGAGGATTTTCAAAAGAAGAAGTCTCGTTCTATCTGGGCTTTAGCTGGCCCCAACCCATTGCACTAAACGTTCAATATACTAACAGAAGTCATATCAAGAAACCTGTGGAATTCTATGATCCAGCTCAAACTCAGCTTAGTCTACCCAAAAATTTTGAAGCATATGACGAATACACTTCCAGGATGGGAAAGTTGGTGAAAAAGCTTAATGATATTAAATCCTTGAAAGAGAAGAGGAGTCGAGGAGAAAAATTGGAAGAAAATCAGGTAAGAAACTCAATTCGTGGTTTTGATATCGTGGACAAAACAACCATCATAGACGCATGTGTGGTCAACGAAAGGCCTTTCGTGCCAACTTAATTTTAAATACAGTAAAAACAAGCGTACAATATATAATAATAATAATAATAAGTCTTTATTAAGCACTCTAAACAACAAACGTGTTTAGTTACAATGATATGAAATCAGCAAGTATAAAACTAATAAACTAACTAAATTACTAACTGAATAACTAATAAGAGAACAAACATCTATTAATAAAGGTCCTTTTGAAACGTTCAGTTCTGACAAGCGGGAGAATATAATTATGGCGCCTCTTACGTAGCGTATCCATTGTTCGCTCTGGTGGCAAAAGGTCATCTAAAGCTGTTGGAAAATCGCTGTCGGTGATCTTGGCGCACAACTTCTTATCTTTTAGAATGATAATCTAGGTTCCCTCAAGTAAGCCTCCGTAGGTTTCTTTGATAAATGGTGTTTACTGTGAAATAAGTCTATCTAGGTTCTTAATCAGGTTCTCAACTTTTGAGTAAAAAAAATTATATTTATGGGTGTGCATGAGTGTGATACTGCGCTGTGTGCCAGCCTCATAGTGCCCTGCTTTACATAGGTAACGTATATACACAGTTGACTATGTCAGTTTCACAGTATTGTGGTCTCATAACACTGCCAATGTTCTGGCTAGTTTTTGTTACTCTTTTTGTAAAGCAATCGATGTACTGTATTATATTTGAAAAAACTCTTTATTCTAAAACTAAGAACCGGTATTGAGATTTTAGCCCAGAACGGCTCCTATGTGAAAGGTGTTTAACTAGGAAATTTTAGCCCAACAGGTTCTCACCGTCCTTTTGAGTTAACTACGTTTGAATGATTATATTGGATGCAGCTTAGAACTGAATTATACTTTTACGAAAATTTACTGCGCTGCCACATGCACCCGTTTTTCTTGCTGTTCTGTTGTTTTTTAGTTGTAATTGTTACTTCTTTTTTCGCTGTCCTTTATATTGCATAATCCACATTTACTTCTTTAGTCCGTGCACAGGTTTGCCAAAACGCTATTTCTTTCGCCATCATCTAAACCATTTCACATGTCTTAAGCAATTAAATTTATGTTTGACATAAAGCGAAGTTGTTTAATCGCATTTACTTCTGTTCCGATGCCCTGAAGTCAAAATAACAGCGTGTATAACTGATACCTTTCGCTAACGTTTTATTGTTTTCTTTAACAGGAAAAGAAATTAAGCATGGAAGGTCATTATATAAAGCAGCTTCAAGAGTTGAGAAAGGACTTTGATGCTTTGGGTTCCCTTGAAGAAGACATATTTGACTAGCACGGACCTGAATCAAAATATATGTTAGCATGCCTATGACATAAACTTAAAGTGGTAGAAAACTAACAAAAGTAGAAATATGGTGTACCTTGTGGATGAAAGGAAAGCACTCTGAGACGTTCCTCTTTTACGGCACAAGTGACTCGCACAATCGGTGCACAATCGGACGTTGAGCCGCTATTTAGATTAACTAAATCATGTTAGACGGTGAAGGGATCATTTTTTTTCTTTTACTATTCATAACAGCAGAGGTGACTCAATCTTGAATGATCAGTTAATTAAGTGCGAAGTGTTAGTGTCACGGTGAGATTGATGTAACCCACGATAGACGATTTTGTGTGTAATTAAAACTTAGAAAATTTCAGTCAACGTCTAAACGCTAGCTGGGTCGAAAAGAAAGGGTAGAACACCATGGAGTCGGGTTTTTTGTTTTTCTTTTCTTTTTTAATTGATTTTGGTTTATTTCCTCTACACTCTTATTTCATTTTTTACGTAACATTTTGCAAATTCCACGATATTCAACAGATTCTTCTCATGAAAATGCGCAGTTTAGAGCTATGACTTAATAAGCCACCTGTATCCAACCATTGTAAGCGTCCAAAGACAGCAATAATGGTTTGTTGGTTTTGTGTTGCTTTGAATCGTCAATTTTCAGGCGGCTTAACAGTAACTACAATTTATTTTTATGAGAAATCTAACTTTCGTGCTATATTTTTTAATATGCACGTGTGTGTGTGCAGCAACTGGCAAAGTAACTCGGTCACGTAATGGATAACATACCGTGAACAAGTCGTTTAGAAATCCTTACTTGGTTCATCAAGTCAAATCCCCTCCTTCCCTCTTTTCCAAATGTTATGGGAAGCTAAAAGCAAAGCGACCACTGAAGCCATTGAAATTGGCGTCCCAAGACTTTTGTCAATCACTATTCGCACATCGTAGTTTATTCTACGCATGATGTTCAGTCATGTACACTGCAGAATGGTAAGCTTCAAACAGTTTTACAGTGATGACGAGAAACTTGCGCGATGTTCTCGCATTACGTCATTAATCTAGAAATTCACTTAAAGTGCATGTAAACCCAAAAATACATGTTTTTCTTACACTACGTAAAAAGTGGCGTAGAAAACGAATTTTAAATTCGTTTTTTCCAATTCGACTTGTTTTAGGAGAAAATTGGCCTTTTCAACTGAAATTTCACTTCTGGTAAAAACAAAAGCGAGAAGTCGTGACGTAAGCGGTGGAACTAAAATATTGCGCAACACATATTCCCTAGTAGAACTGGTGTGGCAGCTCGTGTAAGTAGTAGTAGTTCGGAAGATGTTTTTTCAGAAGAGAGCGACTCGAATGCCTTAAGCCTAGCACATGACAGCGATGGGGATAATCCAGAATCTTTAGGAGAGTCTGGGCCACGTCCTTAACAATATGAGCCGCGTAGGGTTCACCAAGGCGATCCGCACGAGGACGGCACAGAACATGTTGACAGCGATGCGGCCGTCTCGCAAACTCAGACTGGTTTTTGGGCAAAAAACCGGGAAATCGGGCAATTGTGGCAAAAAGTAGAGGAGCAAGGGCCTGAAACCCAGATAAGTTGCATCACTGAGCATCCAGGTTTTCAGCCAATTTGCCTCGATTTCTGGGTGCTGGAGACGGCCTATTACGCGTATGTACCGTTGCACTTATGTCCTCTTATTGCAGATATGTCCTCTGACGTAATGTGATACAGTGGCCAATCATATCCTGCGATCTATCGAGCGACACGCGGCTTGGGACTGGTTAAGAGACTCCGTTGTAGTTATGTCTTCAAGCAAAAGTACTCATTCAAGGGGGTCGGGATAAGTGGAAAATTTGACCAGTATTTTCCGGTAACTGATCTCAGGAAAACATGCTGTTCGCATGATCACTGCGAACCGGATCATTGGCCTCTCATATTGCTTTCCTTGAAGTTCAATCGTTCGTTAACGCAGAGTGATCGCATCGTTGTTATAACCTAAACTTGGAAGAACAATTTGCTGCGCGTGAATAACAAAGCGACTTTCGACCAAAGGATGCGTTATTGTTCACGTTTTATTTGCAGCCTTGCTTTATTTACAGTCTTCATTGCTCGACTTGCGACTTCAATGACAACATTTTAGCCACAAGCTAAGACAAAAGCACAATGTGGCGTCATATCACAATTGCTTTATTTTCTTTAATAGTTGAAGATCATAGATTATGGTTCGTCGACATAAAATTATATATTTTTGACACTTCACCTGATCTGCCGGAGGTGAGATCGACTGAGAAGTCCAAGCTGTGATTATTTGTCTGCGTCACGAAGTCTTCCTTCAATCACAGAAGTTTGGCCTTCAGTTGCATATCAAACTCATGGGGTACAAATAGTCTTAACATGAATGTGGTGACCACGCCCACTTCAACACCCCACTCAAATCGAGTGTAATTTTCGAATGTTTTACCATCGTGCGGATTCTCTACGGAAAAAGCGCCCAATGTACCTCTGAAATATTAAACTATAATATTGTGGCTTTCTATTTCGCTAATTTTCTAACTTGAAGGTAAAGTTTTTCCCTCGTCATTTTTACCTTTTCTTCGAGCGGTTGCGTGAAATTAACAAGGCGTTTTTGATCAAAACACGACCGAGCGAAGGGTCTCGGGCGATATCTCTTTTGCGCAGGCGAAAATTACAAATGTACCGCCAGAATCAAAAAGAGGAACAAATTTCCTTTGTTTTGATATGTAAAGTGTCGGACAAAAAGCAGATTTACCCTCGTCAAATGGCGTTTCAAAACAGCTGTATCTTCCTCCTTTTGATTTTTTCCTGTTTTGTAAAGCGTGAAAGCAGTAGGAGAGGGATCGAGAAACTCAGAAAGCGCTTCGGGAATTAACCTGCCATCGTTTACTTACAAGATAAACAAGTAAGATTTGTGAAGTTCGTTGAAGTATGAAGTCTAAATAAAAGCCTTTTTAAAGCTTGTTTGCTGGATTTTTCGTAAACTTCCCTGATTAATTTTTCGTTTCAGCTTACTAATCTATACTATTTCAAAGCAATGTAAAGACGAAGACGGAGAACCATGAGTCGGTCCTTTCAACAATCGTAAACAAAGTGTTTGAGCAATCGGGTATACGAGGTGTAATAATCAATAGGCGCATATCAGAAGTCTTCAGAAAGAAAGTAACTGTCTTCAGAAAGCTGTCAAGAAAGCTAGTGATCGTGGCGGATGGCAATTAAATGCACTTCTTAGCAAAGTTGGAAACGGACCCTCGGTATCGATTTAATATCATATCGATCATACAGTTTTGTATCTTTATTCCGTGGATTCGCCTTTCTAACGAGGGTGTATGTTGAGTATTCATTGCAAAATCGCTTTGTTTTTTTTAATTTCCCTCTTTGGCTTGTCTGCTATTTTGAAAATTCGTAACGGAGAGCATGCGCATTACGTGGGGTTAGTGGTTGCGTACACCTGGAACCGAGAAAAACAAATGTTCGTCGCACTGGGGAAAGAGTTTGATATGTTATTTTGAGTACTGTTGGTTTTTACCGTATCGCATTAAGCCCTCCGTTAAAAAAGTTGAAGTAGTAGATTGTGATTTTATTGCGGTTCCGCTGATTTTAGCTGTTTTTTTTTTTAGTACTGTTTCTAAATTATTGTAGGATTTATAGCACTTTTGGGTGGATTTGTCCTATTTTACTCTGTTTATGAC